ACAACATGCCCTAAGTGCAATCTATTAGTGCATTAAAATTAAGATTAGATTAAATTAGAAATCAATATGACTAATTAAGTTTTAATTTCACAGTTAAATTTAAAATTACAAATGTCAAATTTAAAATTATTACAAAATTATTCAGAAAAGAAACTAGGAGAAAAAATATATATTTTTTATTGTTCATAATAAAGTGCCAATTTATCAGTTAAGTTCGACACTGATGTAAGAAGTACACAAACACGTATATATAATCAAACATATAAGCACACAAATATAAGAATGAATATTCACATAAGAAGCAGAAGAAGGAAAAATTCAAAAAAGGAAAATAAAAATAAAGAATACAATAAGAATAAAAAGAGGAAGAATAAATATAGACAAACATAAAAACCACACAAAACAAAATTATATCAGACACATGTATATACAGGTAAAAGCATATACAAGTAATTACACATAGGTACCTATACAAATAATCAGACTCACCTAAATTCAAGCACAAATACACTAATAAAACAACACAAACCAACTACCAATATTACATACACAAACAAACATAGATAAAAAAAGTAAATCAAATAAAGGTAAGAAGTGCAAATATATGCATATGTACGATGCATACATATATATAATTGAAATACGCATATTGTGCTATGGACAAAACAAAGAAAAAAGACATATACATATATATACACACACACATATATATACAAATACACACATACACATACAAAAAAACAAACACCTAAACTCACATGTCCAAACAAACAAAATATGCACACAAACATACTAAAAAACGGCATATATACAAATATAAAAACTCATACATGTACCAACATATACACAAATATGTACACACACACACATATATATATATATATATATATATATATATATATATATATATATATATATATATATACATACAAATAAAGAGAAAGAACAGTCAGATTAAGAAACTCTAGTTTTTAGCATTTATTTTTTAAAAAAACATGATATTTTAATATTTTATTTTAGAAATATTTTACATCATGATATGGAAATTTCTGTGTTTCGGAACTTTAAATTTGTTCCATTATCAAGCGATGTTGTGTAATTTTTGGTTACTCAACATCACATGACAATGAAATAAATTTTAAGTTCTGAAACATAGAAATTTCCATGTTGTGATGTAAAATATTTTTAAATTAAAATATTAAAATACATATCCATATATTTTAAGACATTTTTATGTTTAACATTCTTTGTATAGATACAAATATTTAAGTAAATGCTCTGTTTATAATAAACAGTATTAAACAACATTTACCGGATTGAATGTCCGAGAAATTTTCACAGAAAATATTTGTCCTCCAACAGGATTCAAACCTGTATTCTATACAGAATATTTTTTGTGAAAATTTCTCGAACATTCAGGCTGGTAAATGTTGTTTAATACTGTTTATTATAAACAGAGCATTTACTTAAATATTTGTATCTATAAAAACAATGTTAAACATAAAAATGTCTTAAAATAATTGTCGGACTTTATCCATTTCATATCTATATATATATATATATATATATATATATATATATATATATATATATATATATATATATATATATATATATATATATATATATATATATATATATATATATATATATATGCAGGTGAGAATGTTTATGAATATAGTAATGTGGTAATTCACAAATTCTCTTGTGTTTTTTTCCACTAATGTGACATGGACTAATTGGTCGAATCATTAGAGCAATGTCCCTGCAGATTTTCAGAAATACAGGTCAATTCTTTTAAATCTATTAAATAGTGCAGTTTAGTTAATATTGTAAAGAAGTAGTCATACAAAGAATAAATCAGTAAAGTTAATGTAATTAATGGTGAAATTACTTTGCTAACATTAAATAAGGCATTAACTTACTAACTACTCAATGAATAACACAATCCTTGTTTTTAATAACTGTAAAATGGATTAGATGTTCAGTCCATATTGCAAGTACTTTCCATACAACTTGTATCATCTTCAGGTATGGATGTTATTTTTCAGGTAATTTAAACAAACTTTTTAAAAAAACCTCTTTCGACCAGTATTATATATATATATATATATATATATATATATATACACACACACAAATACCTACACCTATACATAAATACATACATACATATACATATACAAACATACAGACACACATGTGCAAATATATATACCCAGGTATATACACCCATATATAAACAGATGTAGAAACAATTATACAAACATACATACATATATGCTTACCTAGATAACCATAATGAATTCAGAGTTCATGTAAAATTAATGCATAAACAATCACAATTATTCAATATTAACAATAATTAGAATGGGTTATAATTAATGTTGGTGATCTGGTTACAAAAACAATATGCGTATATGAATATAAATAAAGTATCAATAAATAATAATATTATACAAACTTACAATACCATTCTATTTTCATTCATAATATTACTACTCATATTGTAAGGTAAAGGGTGAACTATGTATACAGTTAACAGTTAGTTCATTCTTTGATTTACGAGATTAAGCCTGTCTTTAAATCTAATAATTTCCAATTTTTCATTGAGACAAAGATAACATAACATATAGGGAATTACGGGTTTGAGTCCTCCTAATTAATTTCCATTTAACAATAGGAATTTTGTTTTTCTCATTTAAACTCCAAAAGTACTTGGACAACAAAGTACTATTTTTATAAGTACTATTGTTGAGGGTAGTACATGTTGATACCAATGAGTTTTAGTGCTTCCAATATAAAACTTTTTAATACTCAGGTTTTCAAGTGTAGAAATAGTACTAAGATAAACTAGGGAAGTAGCTAAGCATATATATATATATATATATATATATAACCAAGTACAGGGTTGGTACACATGGGATAAAATTCCAATAACCAAAAAACACTATTCTTAAAAGAGTGCTCAATATTAAGTAAAACTAATAATATTTATTCAAATTTACAACATACACGTTATAAAATAGCTACAAAAAGTGAAATTTTGTTTTACTTGATAAGACACCAACATTGTTGAAACAAAATTGCAACTTTTGTAGTGATCTTATAACATGTATGTTATAAATTTGAATATATATATATATATATATATATATAAATATAAAAAGTGAACATAGAAGATCAACATATAGCATGAAACAGTCTGTTTCATGCTATATGCAATCGTGGCCTCTATGTTCACTTTTATATTTACACACGCTCTATCTCTGATATTGAGCACTTTATCCCATAAATATAGCACACCTTAAGACTATATTTATATATATATATATATATATATATATATATATATATATATATATATAGAGAGAGAGAGAGAGAGAGAGAGAGATAGTAATTTTAGATTTAATTCCTGTAGATACACAATATAATTGAAAATGACATAGTTTTTTTTATTTATTTTCCAAATTCAACAAAGAACAAGAACAGAAAGAGCAAAATATAGGATTGTCTTTTTAAATAAATAATAGTTGGCAACCCTGTGTTTACAGTGGAGGTCCCATGCAGACTAAAAGTTAAAAAGTTCAACCTCCTTGGAATTTCCTTTGGGTATGAAATTCATGTTCTGAGTTCTAATGCAGACTGAGGAAATAAAATGCAAACAAAAAGGTCTTTTTAAAAAAATTTTAAAGTTAAGTTATAAGCTATAGTGACTGCTAAGAGTTTTGATAACCTTTGAGAAGCAGGTGTTAAAATCCTTTCCAATTGATTATTAGCTTTATATGCTTTTAAGCATTAGAAAACACATTTTCTCAATGTTCATTATTATTGAACTGTATAGTTTGAATATAAGGAAATTGCAATTGAAAATATATTTTTTAAATCCAGATGCAATATTCCAAATGAATTATGTCAAAGTTAAAATGATGGCAAGGTTTTTGACTTTCATCTATGATAATTCTACTTTAATTTCTAATTTAATTAATGACAGCAGAAAAATTAGAATCTTTCATTTGTGCTTGATATTATTAATCTTCAATTAAAAATAAATTTTTGAAGAAACAGTTTTTACTCACAAGTTATTATTTTATAAATTATTTTTTACCATTTCTCCCCGCATTGAATATTGCTACCACATCTGGTCTGGTGCTTCCACTATATATTTAGAGATTCTTGATAAAAATACAAAGAAGAATCTGCAATATTATTGGTACAGACCTGGTATATATGCTTTATCACTTTCCTACCACCTTAATGTAGCTACTCTGTGTCTTTTCTATAAATATTTTCATGGTAATTGTTCTGTTAAGCTTTCCTCTTTGACACCTAGACTTTCTGAATTTAAGTGTACTACTAGATTGGTAGAAAGATCTCATCTTATAAGTGAAATGGATAGACGTAACTGTAAGTTCTATGCTAACAGTTTCTTCTATTGCACTTCTTGCTTGTGGAACTCTCTTCTGGCTTCTAGCATTCCAGTCAATTTTGATCTTCAAAAATTGAAATGCAATATTGATTGTTATCTTCTGTCTTTTTTAATTTCTGTTCTTTTATTGTTCTTTCTCCTTGAAAATTTTTTTCTCATATTCTCTAACACTCAGCAAACCCTTGAGTCTTAGTGGCTTTATTGCTTTGATTGGGGGTGGGTGATATGATTAAAAATTAAAAAAGTATATTTGACTGAAAAGGAAGCCTGAATTTTTATTTCCTTTAACAGATAAATAATTTTATTTGTAAAGTTAAACTAAACTTATTCCATCTGGATCATTATCTAGATTCTTCACAATACTTAAAATATTTTTTAATTGATAAAATATAAATAGAATCTTAAAATAATATATTTGAAAGTTTCAAAGTGAAAAAAAAAGAAGAAATTTCGTTTTTCGCATTTCGAATTTTTAAAAGTGCTTTTAGTCTTGACCTCCTGCAACCTCTATAGTTGCGGATAATGTCGGATACCGTCTGCTTGTGACGCGAGGAGCGTTTTTATTTTTTTTATGCTGACCAGGATACAAACAGAGAGGTACTTATTTTCTTTGTTTTAGTCATCTTGTCAACACTTATATTGCCTCATTTCTAATTGAAAGGTAAGAAAATCTTTAAAATTATCTAATTTCGTGAAAAAAACAAGAAGATTACTGTCCGTTGCTGCTCTAAGTTTCTCTGGAGATCCGTTTCGGTTTTTTCGGATTCCATTTTTGTATTTATCTTCTTTGAAAAGTCGGCTGCCAGTTTCAGTTGAGAGAAGAAACGGCTATCCACTTAATAATGCTTTTCATTTCTGTGTATGGAAAACAAGTGATGTTTATTAAATAATATTGAATATATTACCTATTTTTTATTTGTCTTATGAAGATAATATGTTTCAATAGTTTTAAAAATGTCTTTTTTATATTGCTTTTTTAGGAGTGTATTTACTGTATTATTATATATTTTTGAAAGGTATCGTAAATAAAAAAAAAATCCATCATAAACCAGTTTATGAATTTAAATTTATTATTCAGAAACACTTGTCGCTTTCTCTTGAATTAAACAGAGGAGAAAAAGAAAAATGCTTAAAAGTTTTTAAAACTGTATTAGGAAGAAGAAACAAACATATTTCTGTTGAAAATAAGTAAAAATTCATTATCAACTTAAAAAAAAATGTTGACTTTTAAAAAATAAATCATTTTTGTTTAAAAAAAACACTTTCGTCATGGCGTAGATGTTTTTAACTTCAGTTACATACACGAAAGAAAATTAATCTAAAAATAAAATAATTTTATTTAATTACATATTTTTCACTTTATTGATTCCATTTTATGAAAAAAGAAAAAGTTTGAAACGATGTCAGTGAACTTAAAAAAAAAATGATAGTAAAAAATGTGTCCGATCTTCATTTCTTTTTTACTACTACAAAGAATGTTTTACTTTTTAACTTTTAAAGAAAAGAATATGATGGGCTCTGTCTAAATAAGAATCGTAGTTACTTTAAATCAACTAAAATAATAATAATAATAAAAAAAAACAGAAAGTAGAGAAAATTTTCTTTTAGGACAATAAAAGACCATTATTCATTCAAGAAGCAGCAGCTTGTAGTAGAAAGCATGAAGGCAGATTATTCAATGAATCACCTTGGAAAAAAAAGAGCTAAAAACAATCACTTATTACCTATTCAGTAATAGATAATGGAAAAAAAACATCATCCTTTACTAAATGTAATCTTAAAAGAAGCCTAACCACTGAAAGATAAATTATATAAAAAATAAAATGGAAAAGGCATTTATTTTTACTAAAAATGCTGTGACATCGTGTCACTAAGTTGTTAGTACATTATTAAATAAATACCAAACGAGACATTATTTTTTAAGTTTTGTTTGTTTGCTTTATCTAAAGGTATTCAATAAAAAAACTGATATTTTCTCAAACATAAAAAATGTAAAAAAGACGTTAAAAAAACTAAGCTTAAAAAAGTGTCGTAACTTAATCTTTTAAAAATAAAATCTTACTTTCACTTTTATCAACATTTTACTTTTTAGTTATTTTCTTACTTAATATAATTCATTACTAAATGTCTCATTTTGAAGTAAAAATTTCTACTATTTCCCGATTACAAAAAAAACAAGCTACTTAAGTGTAAAGAATTCCTACTGCAGTGTAGTATTCACAATTTACTGGTAGCTTATTTTCTCTTTTTCAGTAATAACACTAAAAATCCCTACTTACCACAAGAAGAGTTACTACTTTTCTTGCTTCCCACGCATTTGATTTTTATTTTTGTAATTTTGTTTATTAAAACGATTACATATTTTGAGAGATCCACTCACCTTCTGCCCAACATTATGACTATAAAAAAAAAACACTCGACTCTACAAATTATCTCCAATATAACGGAAAAAAATAAGCATTTTTTTCATTTAAGAAATTAAGAGGTTTTCGTTTTAAGAATTAACTTTTAAAAATAATGTTAATTTTAACTTGTACGGAAACTTGTACATATTCTTCACTTACTCTGTCTTAAATTTAAAAATGTTACTTACAAAATAAAATAGTAATCGCCTAAAAAAACCCCCAAAAAACAGTTAAAAATCAGTTTTCCATTATCAATTTCATTTTTTTTTTTGTGCTCAAATATATGGTTTTGTTCGAACGAACTTTAATAGCAAAATCTTAAATTTTTGTATCTTCTTTCTTTCCTAATGAGAAACACATTAGGTTACCGTTAAAAAGTGTAACTTCTAACATTTACCTGTATTTTTATGGTCGGCTGTATACGAGCCTTCTTTTATTCTTAAGTTTTCAATGATTACTTATTTTGTTGGTTTCCTCTGGTTAAAAAAGAGCGAAAAAAAAAAAAAAAGAAAAACGGCTGTCATTTTTAGGCTTCACCTTTCGTCATTATGAAAACATTTTTTTTTTATTTTCTTATGCACATAAAATTGGCATTTACAGATTTTTAGGAAAAATGCTGTTCAGTCAACTAAGTAAAGCAAAATTTCGTTGCCAATCCTGAAATTTTATAGATTGTATTCGTTTTCAATTTCTAATTCTATTTTTAAACAAGTTGAAAAAAAAAAAGCATTCCTTACCTCCACGAAATTGTTAAAAACAAAATCAGCATACTGTGATGAAAACATGCTTAAAAAACCAAAAACGTAATGAAAACATAGTTTTTTTTATTCAATTGTCAAACTCAAAATCCTTGAAGATGAAGGATCATGGTATTTCTTTTTTAAATATTTTAATTAAACTTTTTACTCTTTTTTTTTTATTAGAACATTCAAAATTTAGATTAAAAACTTATTTTAGTTTTAGCAAATTTTAACCTCTTTTTTTGCGGTGACAGACATTACTTGGAAATTCTTGCAAAAATCAAATAATTGTCAGATTTTAATGAAATTTTCAGGACTTATTCACAAATGAATGAAATTATTGTTGAAAACTTTTTTATTGGAAAATCTTGCTAAAATATATTTTCGTACATGTCCTTCCTTAATTTCATGATTTTTTTTTTTCAAAATCAGATCCCCCGATTTACCGAAAATCTCTTCTGAATGGAAAAATAAAAACACGCAATAAAACTAAGACATTATTTAATTAGAGAAGCTTTTAATTACTTTTATGAATAATATAAATATAAAAACAGTAGTCTGAAGAAGAAGAAAAAATTAATTTTTACAAGTTTAGTTTTTATTTTTTACAATTTAAATTGAATAATTTGTAAAGTTTTTAAATCTTCTAAAATTCAGTTTCAATGTGATAATTCTTAGGAAATAAGTAAAACTATATTTACTACTAATCAAGTAAAGATTTACAATCTGACAACCCCGAATATTTTAAGAATTTCATTTTTTTTTGTGTGTGATATACGTGCAGAATTTCTAAGTATGGATGTACAAACCGATAAATCTAGCATTATTAACAGGTCACGTATTTTAAGGGTTGTCCCACGCCCTTACGGGGAAAAACCCTCACATAAACTTTATCATCTGATCCACTCTCAATAAATCGATTATGTCAGAAAAAACAAGACCCCGTGGTTAAGAAATGCTTGCATACAACATTTTATGCTAAATAAGTAACTAATATTTGTTTCAAATCAGATTAATTTAACTTTAAATTTGCTAATTTTCCTCAAATAACGTTTCAGAAACATATATTTTATTTTTGAAATTTTAAAATAAATCATTTAGCTTTCAATTAAAGCTTTATCATTTTTAAGAATTCATAACCTTTTTGAATTAGTGGAGGTACGTACCGACTTAATTATTATACCAGTTTTATTTACTGATTTTAATTTTATTTCTATTGTAGGTGAAAAAATTTGTCTAAACAAAATTGAATGAATCTTTAAATTTTATTTTATTTTTGTTAACTTTCCTTTCTCATCGTATCCTTTTTACGTGGGCCGTGGTGCAACAAGTGTTTTTTTTTTTTTTTTTTTCTCACGAAAATGCTTATTTTTGTTTGGTCACAAGTTACAAAAGAAGAAATTTTAATTATTTTCTTATCCCACCTTGCGAACACTTTCGACATGCTATTTAAACTTTACTTTGTTTTGATTTTCTTTGATTGATGCCATGAATCTTCTCTCCTCGTCCCGTTAATGACGAAGATGCGTTTTTTAAGGTCTGATACTTAGTTTTGTTAAAGAAAAAAGAGGGGTCGGGTGCACACGACCGTAAATTGAGGTGGGTAAATGTTGGCCAATAACTTAGCTCTTTCTTTACTTTGCCCAATTCTACATTTTTTTTCTTCTTGCATCATGACATTTACATATTTTATTCTGCAGTTAGTGTTACTGTTAGTGTTATCTTTCATATCGTAATCACCCAAAAAAGGTCGCATTTTTTCACTCAATCAGATCATGATCCATTGCTTATTCTCCTGTTAGTTACATTATTTATTATATGTGGGTTTTCTAAATTATTTTTCAATGTCTATTCCTACTTCTTATTAAGTTGAATATTTTGAATCCAACCAACTAAAAGAAAAACGAAATGTTTTTTTTTCACCTGAAGCCATGGAGATTAACAGCGTGGTCACGTGACCTTTTCACTCCTGAAAAATGTACTTTTACCAATTGGATGACTCGTTTCGGCATATTTACTTTTTGTAAATTAACAATTCACAATCACATGTATAAAAAATACGATAAAATGATGTTTGAATACTATTTGTTATTTTTTAAAAACTACTAAAATTTTATTTTATGGACAGATTAATTAATCATTCATTAGTGTTACTGTTTCGTTGTTCATATATCTTATATCGTTTTTTTCCCAGTGCAATTTGTAAACAAGTCAATAATTGGCAAGCTGTTTTTACTATATTATTATTTTAATTTATATATGATTACACTGCTGTTGCAAGAGCCTCTTATAAATAATGGGCTATTTCTTAATTTAATTTGAAAATTCAGTTTTAACTTCGAGCCATTATTATTGTTTTGGATCGGTATCAAAAATTTGTTTATGATCAGTAAGCAGACAATTTTTTCTTTCTTTATAATTTTATTTTTTAAAATAACTTGGTTCTTTAGCA